TGGCTAACGTGACGATCTAGACAATGCCGGAATTTATAAACCCTCGGGCTAAGAAGCAATAGCCAAGAATCAGTCTGCGGAATGAAGGGCGGCTGCTACGACAGCTTCAGGGCAAGTCAAGCTCAATCCTTGGCCGGATGGTACTCATGTCCACGTACTTGAGAATCCTAGGTCTTCGCGCAAACCGAAGCTGCATCGCTTTGAAGATAAAGGTCATGCGAAAAAGACAGATATAACAAGGCACGAGGCAAACGATAGACAACTTCAACGGGGAACTTGTAGTTGGATGTTAAACCTTTCTCATTGGCGAGGGGTATCTTGGTTCATCGATCTAAGTCAAAGCTAAATCCCGCTCCCTGACTCCAAGTGGCTGACCAGCCAGAGAGACCATCAAACAGTCTCGGCAACTTTTCCATTACATCACACCGAACCCTTTCATAATCTCAGAGACTATCTCCGTCTGCTACGCGTGGTGGCCGGCGCCGGCTCGAACGCATCCTCGTCCGAAATCTCATCATCGCTGATCTCGACAGCGGCTTGAGAGGCGGTAGCCTGCGAGAAGTTGAGCTTAGTCTGCCGGGTAGTCTTCGGAGCCGCACGTGCAGGCTGAGATCGCTTGCCCCGAGTAGTCGGTGGCGGCGGTGGCGGCTCTTCAAAGTCGTCGTCCATCACCACGTCCTCTTCCTCGGATTCTTCCTCAAAGACGGGCTTCTTGCGACCTCGCGCGGGCGGCTTCTTGGCTGGAGCTTTCTTGGCTGGGGCTTTCTTTGCTTGGGCAGCTTTCGTAGCTCGAGTGGCTGTTGCTTTCTTTGCAGGTGCTTGACGGGCGGGGGGTTCGTCCTCGTCCATCAGGTCATCCTCATCATCCCGGGTAGCAGTCCTTCGTGACTTGGCTGTAGGCTGAGCGACAGCCTCGGTCTCAACCACTCCAGGCTGATCCTCCCAGTGCCCATCAAGGTCGGAGTCCCACTCGTCTGGCTTCGGTTTGACAGTACGCCTGGAAGTCTTCTTCAGGGCTCCCTTGGAGAAAGCCTCTTCGAGCTTCGCCCGATACGCCTCCATTGCAATATCCAAGTCATCCTCATCGGAGTCAAGGTTAAGCATTTGCTTCACCTGGCCGGCCAAAGATTCGCTAACGAACTCCTCCATCGCGTGCTTGTCGTCCTTGTTGACGAACTGGTTGACGGCATCGCCGAAGGGTGCCGTTGGCAGGATCTTCAGAGACTGGGCTGCGAGGAACTCCTGTACGAGGGCCTCCACTTTGATAGTGTCTAGACCTAGTGTTTCCTCGAGAGCCTCGGGAATGTCCGTGTCGTTAGTCCGTCCTGAGTTGCATTAGCCTCAGTGAACCACATTGCGGGTAACAGAATAGCTTACTTGTGGCACCAGCCTTCTTGCGGTGGAAGTACACGACATCATTGGTGTTTGCCACCTTGCCGATGAACCTATTTGAAAATCGCTGGGGATTCTCGCAGTCGTACTGACCACCCTCCGGAGCTGTATACTCCACTTTGAGGCGAATCAAGGGCAGTGGAGGTTCCTCGTCGTCGTTCTCCTGGACAGCGAACCACTCCTCATTCGCCTCTTGAATCATCTCGTCTACAACTACCATCAGTCTCTTGGTTAACTCCTGCCTGTTTTCCTTCTTCGTGTGCAGCCCCTTAAACCGCGCATCGGTCGATAATTGGATCTCTTTCGTAATGAATGGGCGTACGGTCTTCAATGGTAATTTCTCAACCTTGAACTCTCTGCCTGTGACGTTCAAAATCGCCACGTGCTTTGGCACCGCCTCACCAGGGACCAGAGATGTCGCTACCGAGGAGCCGGGTTGCATGACGTGGAAGCCGGTCTCCGGGTTCTGCTGAGGGTCAATCAAGCACTCGTGCTCATGGCCCCAGACTACAAGATCCATCCAGTCGGGTAGCACATTTTCGGGAAGATAGGATGTTGCAGTATGTGCGTGGTGGTTCTGATGTACAGTGAGCAGGTTGAACCAGTCTGACTGCTGGACACCTGGGCGGAACCACTTGACCTTGTGGTCCCTGAATGTTCGGAACATGCGCTCATCACGAACATTGCTCAAGCCGAATAGCGCAAGCTTGGTCTGACCCTTTTGTAGTAATACCGGCTTGGCTTCAATGTTGTCGGCCTCGGCAATGCGACCAAAGTAGTTGACCAGCCCAGCAACCTGGAGCAGGTCCAGGGAACAGAAGTGGCCCTCGCCACTGGGATCATCGTGGTTGCCGTGGATCGAAAAGACGGGTATGGAGATGTTGATGTCGGGGTCTTCGTAGTTGACGTGAGGGAAGGCACCCTCAAAGACTTCGTTTGCATCGCTTAGGAACTCGAGCTCGCAGGGCTTCATGCCTAAGCAGTTCTTGCGAAGACTGCGCATGACCTGATACATGGACTTTCGGGAGGGCTTATTATCGTGAAAGAGGTCGCCGCCTAATAACACCATGTCGACCTGTGCTCCTTGTCAGCCGGCGAAGCACCACTTCGGGGCGAGGTATCTGCGTACATCTTGGCTCTTGGCGAGGTTCAGAATCTCGTCGAACGTTTTCCAGCTATCGTCCTTGCGAATCGGGTCTCGCTCCTCGTAGCCGACATGGTTGTCTGTCGCAACCAAAATGCGGATAGTGTCCGCTTCTACACGTGTGTCAGAGCTGTTTGGCGGTATGTAGCCGGGGGGAGGGTGGGAGGGAGGAGAAGGAAAGATTACCTGTAAAGTCGGGCATGATGTCGAGCGGACCAATGGGTCAGTCCCAGGCCGACTCTATGTAGTGGTGAGACTGGTCTATCGACCGAGAGTCTACTGTAATATCGAGCAAGGTACTCAGGTAGCTGCTTGAATTGGAGAGAGGAGTTCAGTGGTGGGTGCCCGCCGTTGGCGTTGGGGTTTAAGTGGCCGTCGCGCGGCGCGCCTCTCCAACAGGCAGCGACGCGAAATCCCTAGCGCCACAGCTGCGCACTCACGTGGTGGAGGGGTCCTCCCGGCTGGCCCGTGCTTCTGTGGCTACAATTACCACCGGGACACACCTTGTCTGCCGAGTCCTCACCTCGATATCCGTACCTTCTCCGTACACCTTGGCCGGCGACGGTGAGGTGGTGAGATGAACCGGGCCGAGAATTAAGCTTACTCCGAGGGTTTTCTGCCCCTGGCCCGTTCCTGCTCTTCATCCAATCTTTCCTTCTCACGACCGCGGACAATCCCGTGAGGCCAACTTTAACCGTCGTTCACATCAGTCTGAAAAGACTCTCGATGACTGACATTCATGAAATGGGCATCTTTACTCCTGCTACTAGACCTACTATTGCTTGGGAAGTGCTCTGGCTCTACCTGGCCTCCTTAGTGGCAGAGGAACAGCCAAAATCGGACAGGCTCAAGGGCAAAGCGCCTGAGGCGGCCTCTCGACCTCTCTCTGAGTACGTGCAAAGCCTGAGATGCTTGCTTGTAATCCAACTGGACTTTGTGCCGTAGCTTAGTTTCTTGAGGGAGTCAAGAATACCGAATCGTCCAAACACGACCTGGTCGGCAGCCAGTCAGTATTCAGCGAGTCAAGATATGCATCCCTCGTGTGATCGCTCTCTCGTATCGAAAGCTCGAAGCTATGGGATGCCATTTGCGGCGGACCCCTCCGTCATCACCATTCAAAAGCTTGGGGACGGTGAGGCCATGGTGCTGGGCCATCGGCAAGAAGGTGGTGGGCGAAGTTCTGCCTATCAATCAATTCTCGACTATTTCAGTTGCCCGTCCTGGCCATGCTTGCCAATAGTGCATTGACTTGGTAAAGCCAAGACTCTGGCTTGTCTGTGCAACCCTACTCCGTACATAGATGCCCCGTTTCTTCTCAAAAGTCCCTCGACGAAAACAGAAGGTTGTTCTGACATCACATATCTCTTTGGCTTTGCTGTCTGCGAGGCAGATCGTCGTGGTGGATGCTGCTCAAGGACCCCATTTGCCCAAGGCGACCCAAGGGCCAAGACAACTTCTCATCTTCCATAGTAGGTAGTCCGCCACGACAAACACTAAGAGAAGTTTGTTGGGCAAGAGTGTCTCAACTGAGTCAACTCCTACACAGTAGAAGCGAGCAGATACTTGATTAAGCCTAAATAGGGAGGTTGAACGGCGCTGCCCTGGTTGGATAGTTGGCCGCCTTGGCGAGAGCTTGGCATGCACGTTAAACGGAGCGTTTAATGTCGCGATACCACCGCACCCCGCTAGCGCCGGCTTTCAAAGCTTACTCGCCCCCCCAACTTCATCTCCGAAGGGAGTCAAGGACCGTCCGGTCTCGCTGGACTGTGGCCCATCGATGCACCGAGATCATCGGATCTCTTATCGGCCCTGGGAATGATGGGAACTTGTGCGGGTGCTCTTTCGTGTTCCAGTGCTTCTCGGTCTCTTCCGACTCATGCAACTCGTGCATCCAACGCTGCCCAACCAGGACGCGAGGAGGCATCAAGCATCGCCTCAAATCCTCAGCTCAGCTCCATATGGCCTTTGGCATGCCAAGATCGTCGTATTTCAGAGTCCACGAATCAGAACCAAAAGTCTTTCCCCAGGTGGTTCAATTCCGCTGTTCACGCCGTGCCCGGGCCCGTTGAGTGGCCCGTCGCCCATATTGAAATTCTCAGTTCAACCTCGATGAGGAAGGCATTCTAGCTTACCCCATGGCCTTCATTCCCGCGCATCCAGTTTTTCTTGATCTCAGAACTTGTCTTCTTCCAAGCCTGCTTTAACTGATAGAGCCAAAGGTTGCCTTGAACTGATCCGGAAGGTCGCAAACATCTTAGTTCCCGACTGACTCCCGAACCCATTGCCATGTATCATTCGAACGAGAAATATCGAGACACGCTCGAGAGAATACCCTCAAGTATATATGTGTTGTCAATCCCCCACCATCAAGGTCCTTCTTCTCTCTTGCTCCCCATCCCTCTCAGCTCTATCAAGTCCCGGTCCCCTTGTCCAAGCCTCGATCCAATCGGTCTAGCTCTTCATCATGCAGTTCAAGCTTTCTGTCGTTGCGGCCCTTGCCGCCGCCGCCTCCGCCGCCGTTACCCCCGCCCGTCTCGGCTGCGGTACTCATGATCCTACCCCTGAGCACATTGAGATCTCCAAGAAGCTTGCCGAGGAGGAGGCTGCCAACAATGGCACCGTGAGCCTGATGGCGGCGGCCACCATCAACGTCAACGTCTACTTCCACGTTGTTGCTTCTTCCCAGACTGTGGCAAACGGCTACATCACCGTGAGTATCGACATGGTACCTTACACTTGGAATGTCATTATCTAACAGTTTCAACAGGACAAGATGCTGGCTGACCAGCTGGCCGTCATGAACAGTGACTTTGCCCCCCACGGCATCAGCTACACCCTGGTTGAGACCACCCGCACCATCAACGCCAACTGGGCCCAGGATGGTGACGAGATGGCCATGAAGCGCGCCCTCCGCAAGGGTACCTACAAGGACCTCAACCTCTACTTCGTCCGCACCCTCGGCGGCGACTTTGGGTACTGCTACTTCCCTACCACCGCCGCCGCCGGCTCCACCGCCTACATCCGCGACGGCTGCACCATTCTCTCCTCCACCGTGCCCGGCGGCAGCGAGACCAACTACAACCTCGGCAAGACCGTCACCCACGAGGTCGGCCACTGGTTCGGTCTCTACCACACCTTCCAGGGCGGCTGCACCGGCGAAGGTGACTCCATCGCCGACACTCCCGCCCAGGCCAGCTTCTCCACCGGATGCCCTACCGGCCGTGACTCCTGCCCTAGCCAGGCTGGTCTTGACCCCATCCACAACTACATGGACTACTCTTACGACTCGTGCTACGAGGAGTTCACTCCTAACCAGCAGACTCGCATGTACAGCTTCTGGAACCAGTACCGCGCATAGAGTGGTTGTTTGCTTGGGGACTGTTCTATCATTTAGCATGATGTTACATCAGAAGCGTGGAGTAGCGGAGCTTGAATAGAGGCTGATGAGATTTGATGAGATCTATGAATAGGGGTGGCCGAGGGCTCTGGAATATGAGCTCCATGTAAATAGAACCATCAGGTGTCTTGACTTTAGTATAATACCCTAAGAATATTGACTGAATCATAATTCTTCAAAGACAATATTCTCTTCCACTCTGACAGATGTCTTGCTCAATTCCTTGGTAAACTTTACGCGCAGCGCCGGGAAGCTTACACTGGTTGCCTTTCCGTCATCATCGATAGTGAAAACAACCTCATCTATGGCAATGTTGCCGTATGTAAGCGACCCAGCACCTCCCCATGTCGATCCGCACTTCTTTCCCAGTATGGGCTCCCGACGTGACGGTGTCGCATCATCAGGATTCGAGAACACGGCTCGGAACGCGACTTCGCCCTGATCTTGAAGTCCTATGAACTGTAGATCGGCACCCTGAAACCCAAGTTTCCTGCCCACCTCTGAGAAGAAGTCCGTGCCATTGAGCACTAGCTTCTGGAGTGTGAGGCCAAATCTGCCGGGGACGAGCGACAACTCGGCCCGGGAGTCCGATCCGTCGTCGGCCACATAAGTGCCAGCAAGGTCCTCACCCGCCGCCTCCCGGCCCGCGGCCTCGGCGGCGGGGATCCACTGCTCCAAAAGCAACTCGCTGAGGACGTCGAATGTAGAATCGGGTATGCCATCGCCATAGGCCGTTTTGGAAGCCACCAAGAGCGTGAAGCCGATGTTGTGGTCGGGCGAGAGGATGAGGTAGGTCAAGTAGGCCCCGATGCCGCCGTTCTTGGTGTACAGATCCACGAGCCGAGTGTGCTTTGAGCCGGGAGCTGCGGCGACGTCCATCCGAGTGATTTCCCATGGTCTTCCGACGGCACTGTGGGTGTGCTGGGTATGCGTTACCGGCCGAAGCCATTCGCGGGTTGCTGCTCGGGGTAGGATGGACGATGCGAGGATGGAGCGGCCGATGGCAGAAAGGTCGCCCAAGGAAGAATATACGCCGCCGGTCCTGCAGGAGCTGGTCAGCTTTAAAAAGAAGTATACAGTGTAAGCTGTTGACTGCTGGCAATCGGTCTCACGGGGTATATGAGGCTATTCCCTCCTGAAAAGGGTAGCCTATCAACGACTTGATCGCCGACGGGGCGAGTTCAACAACGTTGGCGTTGGGGTCGTCTTTGGGCGGATCCCAAAATGTTCGAGACAAACCCAGAGGCTCTGCAACACTGGTCTTGAAGGCATCTCCTACGGAGCCACCTGTGATGTTCTCAAACACCCACCCGATGAGCTGAAAGGCCTCATTACTGTACACCGGGGTGTGCCAGGTTGCCGTAGCGGGATACTGCTCCAGCAAGGAATTGAGGACTTCTATATATGACGGGTTCAGCAAATATCATCCCAAAGAGAAACGTGAGAATGGCTCACCTTCTCTGGTACAAGGTCGCATCTCCGGCAGACCGCACTTGATGATGTCGGACTCGTTCAGGTAAGGGAGTCCCATTTCCTCGATACCAGGCATACCAGATAGGTCGACGAAGTGATCTGATAATTGTGAGCTATCGATGGTCACAGAGGTAGACGGTAGTCTGACTATTGCGTGCGATACCACTCATATGGCTGGCCAAACCTCCCAAAGTCACCTCAGACCATTGCGTCCGATGCGCCCGGTGCCCTACCGGTGCGTCAGCAAGCTCCGGGATGAAGTTGGTGATCGGCTCGTTCCAGTACTTGGGACCCAGCTTGACGAGAATAGTGTACACAGTCAATAGTTTGGTGACGCTTCCGATGCGATACAGCGTGTCCGAGTCCAATGAGCCCCCAGTTATCGTCCCGTTGAGCTCGGTTCCCTGATGATGATACTCGTAAAGGAACTCGTCCGAATTTGCAGAGAATACACCAATTGAAAACGACGCAGTGGCGGTGTTTATCTTGCCCAATTCGGTTTCGCCAGTTGAGATCGCATCCTTGATGAGTTTGGCGACTGACTCCTTGGTATCTTTGATCACCTGTGACCTATGGAGGTCTGGAAGAGGGTAGGCTGGTCCCAGCAAAGGGCAATTACTGAGATTGACCCTTTGGCTGACGACCAGTCCACCAATGGAAAGAAGACTGAAATGCCAGAGAATTCGCATGATGCCGTCTTTGTTCTGATGCAAATTTCGGAGGTTGAGAGGAGGGAGTCAGCATCAGATCTTTGAAGGAGAGAGAGCATGATATGTCAGCATGCGGCACGGCCTTAAGCTACCCCGAGTCTGACATCTAGGGTTTTTTTCCAATGACCTGCTTGTTTGGGCTAAAGAAAATGGGGACTGCAAGGGGTTCCTCATTGGATACGAGTCACTGGGCTCACGACTGCAGCAAGGGAACTTTGGTAGACACTGGAACTTGATGCTTTCAAAGGCTTTCAGCCTATGTGATGAATTGCTTCTGCTATTATGAGCGTAGCAACGCCCTGTTCAGCGCTGAATGTTCACTGCTCGAATATGTACACTGAAGGAGTTGGGAGGAGAGCCAAGCCTTCTTTCAAAGATGCTCACCCGGGCTCAATTCCCTGGGGCAAGGGCGACGACGGTCGGGCGTGATGCACCAGATGGCTCTGACATCCTAAGCCAGATAAGACGCCTCGACGAGGAAGCCCACCGTGAGCTTCGAGTGGCGGAGAATGGCGTTCCACTGAACGCTCTCGTAGGTCTGTAAATTTGTTAGTCAATTGTGTCTTGGAGGGGCAATGGTCTGACTTACGTCGCTGGAGGTGTGGATCTTGGGGTTGGAGGTGCTGAAGGGCTCCTCGTTGACAAAGGCAGCAGCTGGTGATTGGACATTAGTACACAGCCACTATAGAAAAGCGGAAGCACAAACAACTTACGGAAACCGTTGGATCGGGCGCTGGCATGGTCAGAGCAGCCATAGCCGCAGGAAGAGCTGGAGGGAGCAGCGCCGGTGTACTGGGTGGTGACGAGGCGGACGTAGGCAGTGAAGGCCGTGTCGACGTAGTCGGTGTACACGGTGGCCTTGCCACCAGGGGAGTAGCCAGTCATGTCCTGGTTCAGCATACCGAGGACACGCTTGCCCGCAGATTTGTAGTTGGCAAAGACAGCCTGGGAGCCAAGGAGACCACCTTCCTCGCCAGCATAGAAGTGGAATTCGATGGTGTTCTGGGGGCGGAACCCAGCATCGACTAGAACGCGGAGGGCCTCAAGCAGGTTGACAGTGCCGGTACCATTGTCATCGGCACCAGGAGCGCGGGCAGTGGTGGAGCCAGCAGTAGAATCGTAGTGAGCACCAACGATGACTGGCAATAAGTTGTTAGTTGAGATTTGCTAGAAGGAGGGAGGCCTTCTTGAGCAATGATTTATGCTCAGTCGTTGACTTACTCAAGTTGGAGCTAGTACCGGGGTACTTGACGATGATGGAAGGCTGGTTGAAAGAGTGGGTGAAGCGAGAGACGGTGATGGCAGAGTAGCCGGAGGCGATGCTGACCGCCTGGTTGTAGAGCCAGGTGGAAGCCTCAGTACCGTAAGTAGAACGGTAGTGACGGTTTTGGAAGCTTAGAAAATCGGTTAGCATCTCAGAGTAGGTATGAAAGGAGCAGGCTCGAAGGCTTACTTGGTCAAGGTGCGGAGCCAAGTCTGAGGGTTGGTGTTGCTGACTCGGGTGATGAGAGAGTTGGCCTCGGTGACGTGGCTGAGAGTGGTCGGGTAGACGACGGTCTGACGGGAAGCCAGGTGGTTGCCACCGGTAGCGAGGGCGTTCAAGACCTCCTCATCCTGAATCTTTGATTAGCTCTTGCTTAATGAAAGCCGTGAAAATATTTCTGGAGTATGACTTACAGAGACATCGGTGATATCGATGAAGCCAATGCCCTTGGAGGTGTACTTCTCGTACTTCTCATCCTCAGTGACCCAGGTGCCGGGATCCTCCTCATACGTCTTGACGAGGCGCAGACCGGGGTTGACCTGAACATCGCCAGTCGCGGGGGCCGCAGCGGCGAGGCCGCAGGAAGCCGCGACGACGGCGAGAGTGGTGCTGAAGCGCATGATGGTTCTTGTTTATCTTGAAGCTGTCGATGACGGAAGGTAACGAACTTGAAGATGGATGAGTGAGAAAGTAAAGTTGACGGACGGCTTGAGAGAAAAGCTCGTGGGTGAAGAGGAGAAGAAAGGAAGTTGTAGACGAGGTGGAGCGGAGGAGCAATATTTATACGGTAAGGTAGGTAGGTGCCTTTTCGGAAGGAGAACCAGTCGCGCCTTCCAGGGAGTTTCTGTCCCGCTCTTTCCAAGATTCGTATAAAGAAATTGGCGAAGGCCTCATGCACATGACTGGGTACTCTACGCCCCAGTGCCCTGGAACATAATATCAGACGAAAGGCAGGAATAACCAACTCAACAGGTGTTGCCCTATAGTTGCGGGGGATCACCAGCGCTTCCGGGATGGGCCGCAGAAGCCTCCGGTCTGCGAATTACCGGAAAAGGCATCTGCATCGGCCCCCGGCCCCCCCGGGTTGCAGTGATCAGCGGGCCAAAACATAATTATATGGTGATTTATGTGCATGGTGACATTACGTCGGAGCGAAGAGAAGCATGGGGCAGGAGGACCATTACGTTTAAGCTTATCTGGGTCGCCAAGGCATTAAGCTCATCGCAGCTGCCGCTTCCAGTTTAGACTCGGCTGTTGAGCGTTCAACCTTCGCGCGACAGTATGAGGGGTCACAACAGACATGGCTTCATTCTTTCATGCTCGCCATGAAATATCCTAGTCACGCCATTGACATATAAGTAAGCACAGTCTGTCGTTCCAAAGAAGGTCCATCGCAGTTTAGGAAGTTCCACATCCACGCAGGTCTGGGCGATGCTCTAGTGCTTGGCAAGATGCCCAACTACCTAAGAGCCATAATACGATCTTGGCACGAACCTTCGCTTAACAATTTTAAACCTCGCAGCTTCCTAAATGGCTCAATTGGAGATTCCTACAATTGGACGGAGAGTGAGTTGCTTCCCATGCTTACCCTGACGTATACCTCCAATCGCAGGAATTGCATCAGCACATAGAGTATATCGCGAAGCATAGTGCTCGGAGGAAGATACGTTTATCGTCAACACAATCACACGATATCCAGAGAACTGGAAGAATGGTGACGACCTTGGAGCGAACTTGTGATTGAAGTTGATAAGAGAGCAGATGAGCTCATAGCGGCACAGAATTTTGAGACTTTACTGAACGGTTCAGTCGATTTTACAGCTTCTGAGCAGGGTTGGCAGTGCTACAACCCATCAAGTACAATACTCGTGCATTCTCTGGCTCACGCTATAGTCCAATTCACCATTCATGGACCAAGGTATGGCCAAGCGTTCCTCCGATGGCATCCTTCATCATGGCTGCTAGGGCCCCTGCGTTCCAGCTTAGAAGCCCTGCTTTGCAACCTGAGCCTTGGCAGCAGCAATGGTTGCCGCCTTGTTGGGGTCGACAAAGTTGCAGCCGTTCTTGCCATTCTGGAACTGCGCGGCCTCGGCCGAGCAGACGCCGACGCCGCTGGCATCCGCGCAGCATGCGGAAGAGCAGTCAGCGTTGTCGACACAGCCTCCGGTGATGAATTGAGCTCCGTTGCCCTGGCCGACGTTCTTGGCACCGGCGTTGTTGGGGGTGATTGCGAGTGCGGTCATCGCAACTGAGTCGCGACTGAGTTAGCAGCAATACTCTGATCGGAGGGTCCGCTAGGCTGGATACTCACAAGCGAGAGTGGCGAAGAGAGTGATGCGGACCATTTTTTACGAGTGTTGGCTTGGTTGGTGATTAAAGAAAGATTTTAAGATAAATGCGACACCAGGTCGTTGAAGCGAATGTGCATGCACTGTAGATTGATAAGAGAAGGATTGATGAAGAATCAAGACCCTCTAGCCCAGAGGCAACGAGTCTTTAAATACTCAGTCTCGCTGAATGTCTCGACTGACAGAGTTTCGTAGCTGTGGACATTGGTCCCCTGTCAATCGAGCATCCCGCCGGCCCTGGCATCGTGACACTTTCCCGTGAGACGAGTACCAGCAATTCTGAAGTGATTCCCTAGGTGCCTGAAACTTGGCAATGGAAATAGCACGGCCGTCACCGAATCGCTACTCGTTTTGCGGCTGAACTCTCCCCAAACTCCATCGGGTTCGGATCATGACATGTGTCATCCGAACGGATAGATCGGTCAGTTGCGGTTTGATCGTCGTCTGAACCATGTTTTGCGCAACGTCTGCTATTAATGCGCACAGGACCACTAGGGGCCATCTTCCGATGGTCAACTGACGATCTTCACTAGTTCATCTCACCGCACAAGTGAGTATCAATCGACCAGTGTTGCTCATGTCCATTCGCTAATCCTTGATCATGCGATGCCGCATCCGCAGAAAACAGTTTCTCAGTGATTGTGATCGTCTTGTCATCACGACAATTTAGTAGTTGGCTTCGTGCATGTTGAAGTTGCAGGCGTCAAAGTCTGTGAATTTCAGTTGGTTTCAAGGCATGAAAGTAAAATCTTAAGTATAGGGCAGGTGTCCAAGGCCATTTGTTCCCTTCAATCTTCTGGAATCATTCCTCTGTACTACCAAAAAGCTGTCTCCGAACTTGTCGTCGCTAGGTCTCGATTCCCAGCCGAGTCATTGGTGGGCGTGTGTCTGTGACTGCTTTACTTTATATTGTTTTCTTAACATCCTCCTGCTTTGTAGTAGGTAGAAGGCCACAATTGGACTGTTTGGACCGAATCACCGCGGTGTGTATGTACTTATTAATATAGCCCTGTCAAGGTTACCTGGAAGCAAAGACCATGGATCTTCTCCCATCGTCATCTGTGTAGAGGATGGGCTAATTGTTTTCTAGGATGCACATGTAATAAGCCGTCAGCGGATAGGTAAAGCTCTTGCTCTTTACACAAAACCGGGTCCAAGGCAAGATTGTCAGCATCATGGTGTGTTTAAAATGCTCATGTACGAGCCTCAACTCGAAATAGCAATGCCGTCTTGGCTGCATAACCGCTGCCTACGTTGGGATGCGAGCGGAAGACTGCGTCAATAACCCTTGAACGGACCGAAACTGGTTGTATGCTTGAGTGGTACAAAGCGTAACGCCAATTTGGATGTATTTGAGGACCTTTACTTCATTGGATATAGAAGAAGATGGATGGTTACACTGAATGTATCTCAAGCTCGCCAGAGGCTCTTCGCAGAGAAGAAGGAAGTCTCAGCCTTCACCGCGTCGCGCTAGGCATTGCTGTACTACTTCACCAAGTTCACGTGGCGAGAGAACTCGAAAACGGGCGAGTTCAATTGTGTCGCACACCCTGATAAATGAGAGTCGTCTCCTATTCTCCTTTTGCCGCGACATGTGGCCATGTTGACAAAGACCTTTCGAACTTCTCTGTTTGAACTCCGAGCCATTCATACGGATACGGATAGCATTTCATTGGCGTCACCAGCTTTGTATCAACCCAAAATAGAGTCGATATGTTGTTTCGGTACTCCATGAGAAGTGCCTATCTGCTTTTGGGGGTTCGATCCTTCCTCGAAGTTCACACATGGGAAATATCTGATGTGCCGGACCCGGACCTGTTCCTTCGAAGAGGCCTATCTAATGGTATCAAAGAATATCTGGCTAAGTAAAACGTCTAAGAAGAACGATCGGCTAATATGTGATGTGGCTTCAGTTGTTGTTATCGGTAACTTTCTCTACATCGATGGCGGAGAGGTCTCTCAGCTCGATGCCGAAGGAAAACCATATACTTCCTTTGATTACGGAGTCAACCAAAGCTATGGCTCTCACCCAGGTCAGTACTTTAGCGAAGGTATCTTCTCGGGTCTCAACGCTTCTCTGACAGACGGATAACGTAGTCAATTCTACCCTCTCAATCGACTTGTCGGAATCTTGGTCCCCCGCCAACGTTTCAATCAGATCGATACCGAAAGAACCATACGGTATGGATAGGCAAGCATTGTGGGAAAGGGCAGATAACGACTCATTCTATATATGGGGAGGACACACCGCCAACACCCTCTACTTGAAGGACGAATCGCTGTCTACTGGGTCGTGGAAGTTCCAAGCCGATGGTACTGGTGGTGGCCAGTGGTTGAAAGAGACCCCTGACAACCCCACAGAATTCACAGAGCTAGTGAGAAGTGAGGACGGAGCATTTGCCAGTACTCCTCACGGTGGCTTTTGGTTCGGGGGCTGGGCAGGAACTCGAACGAAGGTAAACATGACTAACGGCGAAGCGGACTTAGCTCCAGCTGGAGCTACTCCAGGTATGATTGTTTACGATTGGAATACCAAGCTGTGGTCGAATGAGACGACCGCTTTCAAGGCTGCGTTTCCTCCCTACGGGACAGTGAGAGGTGCAAGAGCACTATATGTCCCCGACTTTGGACCAAATGGCATAATCGTGCTCCTCGGTGGCTTCATGGCGACCTTGGACCCAATAGTAAGCGGAAGCGATAGCCTCCATCAATGGATGGAAATATCCAACATTACGTTCATGGATCCAGTCTCCAAGAAATGGTATAGCCAAATGACTACAGGATCTGCTCCGACTAGACGACAGTGGTTCTGCCTGGTAGGACTCAGGAGCAAAACTACATATGAGATGTCAGTATAATGGAACAGTGTCTCGAGCCAGTCAAAGTGTTAACAAAGACAGATTCTTGTTCGGCGGAACAGCTGGGTTCTCTAACAGAGCATACAGCGATGTCTTTGTATTAAGTCTACCAGGGTTTGTTTGGAGACAGGTGCAATTCGACGACGTATCTCCACGAACGGATCATCACTGCGCAGTAGTAGGAAATCGACAGATGATTGTTGTTGGTGGAAGAACCACAAGCAAGAGTGTGGGTAATTTGGAAGGATGGGCTCTCCGAGATCCGTGGCCGCAAGGGCTTGGTTTGTTCGACTTGGTGGAGTGGACGTGGAAGGACGATTACAACGCTAGCGCTGGTGCTTATCGCAGCCATGAAGAAATTCAACGCTGGTATCGTGAGAAGTAAGTCTGCAGTCCTGAAGGACTAGGGTGAAAGCTAAATAATAGGTTTAGGGGTGTCGGTTCTGTGTCATGGTCATCGGAGGAAGTCAAGACTTTCTTCGTGCCGACAGCGAAGTCCACACCCATCCCCACAGCCATCCCAACAGTATTGCCTCCAGCTATGCCGAGGGCTACAGAAGCCTCGAGTAATACTATTGCAGGGGCCGCCATAGTTGGGATTATCTTAGCTGTTCTTGCATTTCTGGCAATCATGTGGATTGACGGCCGTTCGGAGAGACCAATCTTCGTACCACCGCCTGTCAATGAAACGAGCTCAACGAACAATACCATGGATGTCCCACTTCAGACAAAGGAACTTGAAGCGGACCCTACTCCTTGTCTAGTAGAACCAAACTCGGACCCAAAGACTGTAACAGAGCTTCCAGTGGCCTCAGCGATCGATCACAGTCCTTATCAAGACGAGCCGAGCAAGGATCCGACGCTCAGAACAGAGATTCCGGTGGCCTCGGTGGCCCCAGTGGTCGAAATTTATTCTTACTACGATGACCCGAGTGTGGAACTGAAGGCTAGAACAGAGCTCCCCGTATCGGCGGCCGATTATCTTCCTTGCCCAGCCGAGCTGAATACGGATCCAACGGCCAGAACAGAACTTCCTATGAACCCGATGGTCGGAAATAAATCGAGCCTTCCCGTGGAGCTCGACGCTTTGTATAGTCCCGCCAATACTGTAATCAGGAATGTCCCAGATGGATCAAGGCATGATCGCGCCAAGCTTATCGAATGAACTGCTCAGTCGGCTTCTGGTCACCATTTGAAATAAGGAGACGTTTGGCAACGATTTGAGCTAAGAATTGAGATATTCAATTACAGTGAAGAGTGTGAAAAAAACACCTGTGACCTCAGCATATTGCTCGAAGCAGCTCCTCGTTGACATGTGCTATTTGCTTCGTGTTGTCACGCTGACATCAATGCTTCTCTTCTGATAATGGCTTGGCGACTTGTCATATTCATCCAGAAGACTCGCATATTCGTGTAGACTTTGACCGATCGTTCTCATGATCGGCCAGGCGCTATTGCATCTTTCAAACATCTTGGCGAATAACTTGATCACCAAGCGACCAAGAGTCTCCAAAGAGTGTGAGGTGTTGTCTTCCAGAGTACTCAGATCGTATCCGTCAATTGCTTCGACCGAAGCCAAAGCCTCGTTAACAACACACTCTATCCAACTTATTATCTGGCGTTCATTTACTTGGTCTCGCGTCAGTCTTGGCATCGGCATTTTCGTTGGATTATGTAACTTACTATCCAACTCTCCCGTATCCTGTGTTTCTGCGAGCATATACAGCCATTTACTGAGAAACACTGCCGCCTCAAAGGAACAGAAGCAGTGTTGCAGACTCCAGAAGAAAGCCTGGCAGCTAGCCAAGTAGTCGATACCGAGTTGCACAGGAATGTTCAATGCGTGAACCGCATGTAGAAGAGCGTAGACGAGCTGAGGCCCACGTTCTGGCGGCCGAGCATCCCAAGCATTGCCTGCAATGGTCTTTGGGTTTCCGGAACAAACCTCTTGCGGTCTTCTCGAAGCAAAATGCAGACGTACATGAGCTAACCCAAGCAGAGACGTCGCTGTCCAAGAGAGAGACCCCTTGGTATGCCTAACGTCTAAAACGGACTCGGGAGCCTTGCACCATTGGTCACGCCACCGGTGTAGCGATGATTCAAATTTCGCAACCTCTTCGGGCGCGTACCCCGGAGATG